GGGTCCAGGTTTGTTATAGAAGGAGGACTCTTATACAAGGAGACTCTTTCTGGGGGGCACAAAGAGGACTGGCATCCCCAGATACAATTGATAGTTCCAACTAAGTATAGGGAAAAGCTCTTGAGCTTAGCCCACAATCACCCTTGTGGCCATGCTGGGGTGAACAGGACCAAGGACCATTTGGGGAAGTCATTCCACTGGGAGGGGATGGGCAAGGACATTTCTACCTATGTCCGGTCTTCTGAGGTGTGCCAGAGGGTGGGAAAACCCCAAGACCAGGTCAAGGCCCCTCTCCAGCCACTCCCGATCATTGAGGTTCCATTTCTGCGTGTCGTTGTGGATATTCTGGGTCCTTTCCCTAAGAAGACACCCAGAGGAAAGCTGTACATACTGACTTTCATGGATTTTGCCACCCAATGGCCGGAAGCAGTAGCTCTAAGCAACACCAGGACTAAAAGCGTGAGCCAGGCATTGACAGACATTTTTGTCAGGGTAGGTTGGCCCACTGACATCCTTACAGATTTGGGAACTAACTTCCTGGCAGGGACAATGAAACGTCTTTGGGAAGCTCATGGGGTGAACCACTTGTTTGCCACCCCTTACCACCATCAAACAAATGGCCTAGTGGAGAAGTTTAATGGGACTTTGGGGACCATGATACGTAAATTCATGAATAAGCACTCCAATGATTGGGACCTAGTGTTGCAGCAGTTGCTCTTTGCCTACAGGGCTGTACAACATCCTCTTTTGTGATTTTCACCCTTTGAACTTATTTATGGCCACGAAGTTAAGGGGCCATTACAATTGGGGAAGCAGCAATGGGAAGGGGTTACATCTTCTCCAGGAACTAACATTTTGGACTTTGTACCCAACCTGCAACACACCCTCAAAGACTCTCTTCCCCTTGCTCAAGAAAACCTACAGGATGCTCAGCAAGAGCAAAAGGCCTGGTATGATAAACATGCCAGGGAACGTTGCTTCAAAGTAGGTGACCAAGTCATGGTCCTGAAAGCACTCCAGGCCAATATGATGGAAGCATCATGGGAGGGGCCATTTATGGTCCGAGAGCGCCTGGGAGCTGTTAATTACCTCATAGCGTTCCCAGACCATACCCTAAAACCTAAAGTATACCATGTTAATTCTCTAAAGCCCTTTTATTCCTGAGAAATCAAGGTTCTCCTGTTTACAGCCCAGGAGAGAGACGATGCTGAGTGGCCTGAAGGAGTCTACTATGATGGAAAAAGCAACAGTAGCATGGAAAAGGTAAGCCTCCATGACCCTTGGGCATAAGCAGTGACAGCAAATCCAGGATCTGTGCACCACCTTCACGCCAATGTTTTCAGCCACCCCAGGATGGACAGAACAGGTATACCACTCCATTGACACAGGTGATACTCGCCCAATTAGAGCCCAATCCTACCGGATGGCTCCTCAAGCCAAAACTGCAATAGCAAGGGAGATCAAGAACATGTTACAGATGGGTGTAATTCATCCCCCTGAGAGTGCATGGGCCTCTCCAGTGGTTCTGGTTCCCAAACCAGATGGGAAAATCTGCTTTTGTGTGGAATACAACTAAATGCTTTAACTTGCCCAGAAAACTATCCAATACCACGCACAGGTGAGCTATTGGAGAAACTGGGACATGCCCAGTTCATCTCCACCTTAGACTTAATTAAGGGGTACTGGCAAGTGCCACTAGATGACCCAGCCAAGGAAAAGTCAGCCTTCATCACCCATGTGGGGCTGCATGAATTTAATGTGCTCCCTTTCAGATTACGAAATGCACCCGCCACCTTCCAGAGACTGGTGGATAACCTTCTGGCTGGATTTGGGGAATTCGCAGTCGCCTACCTCTACGATATGGCTATATTCTCAGATGCATGGGCAGAACACCTGGAACACCTCCAAGCTGTCTTCCAGCATATAAGGGAGGCAGGATTAACCGTTAAGGCCAAAAAGTGTCAAATAGGCCTAAACAGGGTAATGTACCTTGGACACTAGGTGGGTCAAGGTACTATGAACCCCCTACAAGCTAAGGTAAATGCTATCCAAAATTGGCCTGTCCCTAAGTCAAAGAAGCAGGTCCAATCCTTCTTGGGCTTGGCCGGGTATTACCGATGATTTGTACCAAACTATAGCCAAATTGCCACCCCAGTGACAGACCTACATAAGAACGGCCATACCGGGTCAGACCAAGGGTCCATCTAGCCCAGTATCCTGTCTACCGACAGTGGCCAATGCCAGGTGCCCCAGAGGGAGTGGACCTAACAGGCAACAATCAAGTGATCTCTCTCCTGCCATCCATCTCCATCCTCTGACAAACAGAGGCTAGGGACACCATTCCTTACCCATCCTGGCTAATAGCCATTAATGGACGTAACCACCATGAATTTATCCAGTTCTCTTTTAAATGCTGTTATAGTCCTAGCCTTCACAACCTGCTCAGGTAAGGAGTTCCACAAGTTGACTGTGTGCTGCGTGAAGAAGGAAGAAGGACCTGACCAGGAAAAAACAACCAAATGCAGTTCAGTGGACTGAGAAGTGTCAGAGAGCCGTTAACCAGCTTAAGGCAGCCCTTACATCTGACCCTGTACTGAGGGCCCTGGACTTCAACCAACCATTCTTTGTAACAACAGATGCGTCTGAGGGTGGTGTGGGAGCAGTTTTAATGCAGGAAGGACCAGATTACCAATTCCATCCTGTCATGTTTCTCAGCAAAAACTTTCTAAGAGGGAAAGCCACTCATCAGTCTCAGAAAAAGAATCTTACGCCCATAGACGCAGACTTCCCCTCTTTCCCGTCGATGCTCAACCCCACCTCCACTCCACCCTTTCCATGAAGCCCCACGCCCATTCCAACCCCTTCCCAAAAGTCCCCACCCCAACTCCGCTCCCTCCCTGCCCCATTCCAACTCCTTCCCCAAATCCCGGCCCCGGCCCTGCCTCTTCCCCTGAGCACACCACATTCCTGCTCCTCTCTCTCCCCCCCCCAGGGCATGCTAACGCTGCCAAACAGCTGTTTGGCGGTGGCTGGGCAGGAAGCGGTGGGAGGTAGGGGGAGGAGGAGATGGGGGAGGGGAACTTGGCTGCCGGTGGGTGCAGAGCCGGCTTGACTATTTTAAGTGCTTTAGAATAGGCACATTTACTTGAATTGCCTTGAAATTTGGTGTGCCTCATGAGGGTTCTGGGTTGGGTGAGCAACTCACATTTCGGGCCAATTGACCAAGGGGTTCCCAAGATATAGCCCCCCTGCAAATAACAGTACTTCATAAAATTCAAAAATTCTAGCACCATTGACATTTGAATTCCCCCCTTGATGAGACATCTGAGGAAGAACTGAGCTGGGAAAAACCACCAAGGGTGTTTTCAGAAATGTAGTCAAAGTATTTAGCAGATCAATCGGAAGGGTCTCAAACAAATTTGAAAGTAAATTACCTTACTGGGAGGGGGCGATTAGGGGTGCAAGCGTGGGTGGGAATAGGGAGAGAGGAGGTTGTGTCTGCAGGTAGGGATGGGAGGTTTAATGGGGAAGGCAGAGGACTGGAGCAGTTATGTGTGGGGAACAGAAGAATTTGGGGTGAGGGACAGGAGGGACCTTTCAGACTTTTATTCTCCCCTTCTGCATACGTGCTGGATCTGGAGGGCCCCTTCCACTCTCCCTGCCCCCCATATATCCTGGGATGTGGAGGACCCTGGCATTGCTCCCCATGTGAGCTGAGACCTGGGAGAAGCTGGGGTCCAAGGTAACACAAATTTCATAACCTGAAATCCAGGAAAGGAATATTTCAGATACATGGGTGTGTGGGGTGGGGGAGGGGCTGGGGTGGAGGGGGTAGACTGGGTAGGGCTAGGGCATGGCTGAAGCAGGGGCTTGAGACCCAGCTAGAAATGGGAGGGAGAGGCACAGCTCAGTGTGCACTTTGGGCTACATCGGCAAGGTAGCAGGCGTACTTCTAGTAAGCTGCTAAATTGAGATGTATGTTCAGCAGCATAGGGCGGGGGCCAGCAAGGGCTAACTTCCACCAGGCTTCTGCAGTAAGCACCTTGTGCCGGATCCTATGCAGAAGGTTCCTGGGTTCAACCTTCCATCTTGGTCAGCTCTGAACCAAATCTGAACCAACCTTGACACATATGGACACATAATGCACAAATGGAAAACTAGGGGCTAGTTCCAGCAGGAGAAAGCCCCCCCCCACCCCTTCTAGTCCCAGTGAGTGCTGCAGCCCAGAGTGGCAATGAAGTGAAGGACTCAGGAAGGGGCTAGACCGGAGCAGCTGAAAGCAGTGGGTGCTGGGAGGAGATGGGGCACAGGAATGGGGAAGAACAAAGATCAGAGATTGGATACAGCATGGGACAGACAGGGGTGAAAGTAACTTAAGAGACTTACTGGAATGCAGGGCCGGGTACTGAGCAGGGGCCGGGGCCTCAACCGGAAGGGGCAGGGCCTTTAAATCCCCAAACCCTTTAAATCATCTTCCTTTTTTTAAAGATGGGTACAATATTTGCTTTTTTCCAATCATCCGGGACTTCCCCTGATCACCACAAGTTTTCAAAGACAATGGCCAATGGCTCTGCAATCACACCTGTCAAATCCCTCGGGACCCTTGGACGCATTAGCTCCGGACCCATGGACTAGTGCATGTCCAGCTTTTCTAAATAGTCCTTAACCCGTTCTTTCACCACTGAGGGCTGTTTACCTCCTCCCATACTGTGCTGCCCAGTGCAGCAGTCCTGGAGTTGACCTTGTCTGTGAAGACCGATGCAAAAAAAAGCATTAAATACTTCAGCTTTTTCTACATCATCTGTCACTAGGTTGCCTCCCCCATTCAATAAGGATCCCACACTTTCCCTGACCTTCTTTTTGCTAACATATCTATATAGAAATTGACTTTGAACCTAATGAAAATAAGTTCCATTTGAAATACAAATCATTCAAATTTATACTGGGTCAGTATTCTCTACACTATTTCTCACACACATTCCCCCACCCAAACCTTTGCAGTGAGGTTTTACATCAGGACATTTTAGGCCAAAGGGGGTAAGTTATATCAAAGAAGCTTTTCAGGATTAGCCACCATTTCCTATATTACTAACTAAAAGAAAAAGAAATGAAGTTTTATTTTTCCAGTATAATTCAGTTGATCACATAATTAAGTCTCTTCTTCATTAAAGAGTAACTTCATGTTTAATTTCATTTTGATTGGTAACAGTATATATTCAACAATTAAAGAATCTTCTCATATGTGTTAGTTTTCTTTTAATCCCCCTTTCCACCAGTGAACCCTTGAGTATAGTTGTGGTTAGGGATTAGATACAAGCCTGGACCAGAATCTCTGTAAGATAAGAGAGATGAGGTTTCTATTAAAAAATAGCTATTTTTTCTGCAGCCATCTCACATTCAACACTGATTTCATCCTACACACATTTATATCACCCACAAATGGTGAGTTCAAAAAAACCACCACTTCTGTTTCCTCCACGTATACATCATTATGGGCAGTGTCATGGGGTTGATACATCCTGAAATAAAGAATGATGGTCATTTGTCTGAAATTTCCCAATAAATCTGAGCTACGTGTGTCAAACATTATATGACCAAGGAGCCTTTATGAAAGATAGAAAACCAATATCACAGAGAGGTAGAAGACACTTTCATTTTCATTTAAAGGGAAATTCCAGAGTAGGTTACATCTGATAACTCAGAATCAGGATGAGAGATTCTCCCATAAAACCTGCTTCATTTAGTGTTGTCTCATTAGTGTTATTTACAAAAGTTTTAGTATCTTCATAAAGGGAGGGAGGAAACAGCCAACCTTCCCAGAAGTGGCTTTGCCAATTGAGGGGAAATGGGATTTGAATGGTGCTTGGGATCCATTTGAAATCCCCTTCGAGGTCTGTGACACTTTCATCTCCTGCCAGAGTAACCGATTTAGGATCAAAGACATCCAAGCACCATTCCCAAGCACGGATAGCTAAGAATACTACCTCACCGGAAACTTTGGGAAGTGAAGGAATATGAAGGGGGGAACTGTGCATGGCTCAGACACAAGGTAACAGTTCTGGGGTGATGGGGAAGAATGGAATGTCTGAGTCACCCCATCTCCTTCCAGTGTCACAGAGCCTGAAATGACCCTTATTTCCCTGACACTGCTCCGGCTCTTCACTATATTTAAATATATTTTAAATGAGAAAAATGGTCAACAAAATAACTGCTGTTCAGCATGATCCAGGGTAACGTGAGAACAACTAGGAACAAGACAATTTGTCCTCAAAGAGGAACTTGACGTCTCTAACAATAACTTTGCACTGGGAGGAAGAGTATAAATGTGATTCTCCAGGTTTGTTTAGACAAGGAAATGTGATGGTGGTTAGGTCAGATCAGGAGGAAATGTGCAAGATAACCCCACCCACTATCCATGGCCCATGTCTTTACTGCAAGAATAGCTGTCTTTTTACATCAGGAAAGTGAACTCAAGCTAGCTAACTCCATGGCAACCACAGTGATGAGGCCCAGGTAGATTTTACCTCAATGTAGCTGGTTGAAGACACCCCCTATCTCCCCCATCAGGGGTGATGGACATTTCTGGTAGAAAGGCCACCCACTCCCATGACTCGCAGGACAATGGAGTTGATAGAAAGGACCACAGGATAACCCCAAAGACGGGCAGGCTTCAAAAGCGGGCAACTCATGTGTGGGAGCTGAGGGACTACAGTGTGCAAAAGATGCAAACAGCCTTAACGGTCACGACCTGAGAACTGTGAAAAGAATTAAAGAAAAAAAAATCTTCTGAGAGCTCTAGAGAAGGTTTTTATGGAGTTTATCTCCTTTATGGATTCTCTGATGATAGAGAAGGCCTGAGCTCTGAGAGAAGCTTTTCCCACACTCACAACATTCATAGGGTTTCTCTCCCATGTGGACTTTCTGATGAGAGATAAGGGAGGAGATGTCAGTAAAACTTTTCCTGCACTCACTGCATTCATAGGGCCTCTATCCTGTGTGGATCTTCTGATGCGTAGTAAGGTTTGAGCGCCGAGTGAAGCTTTTCCCGCACTCGCAGCATTTGTAGGGTCGCTCTCCTGTGTGGATTCTCTGATGACAGAGAAGGGCTGAGCTATGACTGAAGCTTTTTGCACACTGACAACATTCATAGGGTTTCTCTCCAGTGTGGATTCTGTGATGTGTAATAAGGGCTGAACTCTGAGAGAAGCTTTTCCCACACTCACAACATTCATAGGGTTTCTCTCCCGTGTGGACTCTCTGATGAGAGATAAGGGAGGCGAGGTGAGTGAAACTTTTCCTGCACTCACTGCATTCATAGGGTCTTT